GCCTGCACGGTCTTCAGCCTCCTCATCAAGGCATCTGCCGCAAGGGATATGGGGGGTTGCCAGAGGAGTCCTGGCTTCTCCCTCCAGGCCAGCTTCTACCAGAGCTACTCCTTTTACTGCCTCCACCAGCCAGGGCTCTGGAGGTCCCAGGCCCCTCAGGCGGCTCCAGGCCCGGCTGAGGAGGCCCATCACTGGGGACAGGAGGAAGAAAGGGTGGGCATCCCTCCATGGGGTAGCCTGATGGGGTGCTTGGCCTGGGGCCATGTGTCTGGGCTGGAAAAAGGGGGAGGAAAAAAATAAAGTTTAGGGGCCATTTAGGGGATGGCATCCGGGCATGACTATGAGTCATAGCAACAGAAATAGTAACACAACTATTGTCAACAGCAACGCAAGAGTCCCAAATTCCTTTCTGATCTCAGCCACGCCCATCTCTGCCTCTTGGCTCTGTTCTCTCTCATCTCTCAATAGCCAGGAGTCTGAGCCCCTAGTTCTTCCTTAGATCCAAGGGTCCAAGCCCCCAGCCCCCTCTTTCTTCAGACGCAGAAGTCCCAGTCCCAAGAACCAAGAACAAAAGTCTTTTGCTTGCTTCCCTTGGCGACAAAGTCATAGTCCCTCCCTAGCTCTGTCATCCTGCTGAAGATCAAACCCTCACACCCTCCTCCCTTGCAGACTCAAACATTCTGACCCGACCCCCCACTTGCTAGATGATTCCTTCACGGGGACCCAAGAATCTGGCTTCCAGATCCCTCCTCCCTCAGGCTCCGGACTCCAGGGTCCCAATCTCTTCTTCCTAAATCCAGGTCTCCAGCCCCGTGGGGACCCAGGCGTTCCGACCCCTTACTCACCGGTGGGGGGCTGCGCGTCACCCCGGGGGCAGGAGCGCCGGCTCGGTCTGCCAGAAGCGATCACAGGTCCTGACGATTAGGAAGGCCAGCGCGTTCATCTCACCCTCAGGCGTCGGGCTCCAGGGAACTCAGAGTATCTCCGGCTGCCTCAAGCGCAGTGGCGACAAGCGGGCGCGGGGTCCTGCGGCGTCTTGCATACGATCAACAACTTGGACAGGAACCAACACGATGAGCGCAAGCGTAGGCCACGACGCGTTTATATTCTACAGCGCCTGGCGTGCTGACGTCACGGGGAGAGGCGGGGTTTCGAGACCACAGCCCGAAGGGTGGGAAGTGAAAGACTGGACTTCTCGCGGAGATTCCAGCCTTTGTAACGTCTCGGCGGAGTTTCCGAGCGTGACCACGCCCCCCCAACCAGCAAACTGTCAGTCAAATGCGTGGTCCTGCTTCAGCAGCGAGCCGGTTCTCTCTTAGCTGAGGGCCAATGCCTTCCCACCCAAATTTATTTATTTGTGTATTTATGTATTTATTTACTTATTTATTTATTTAGGTTCGTTAGTTATTTTGAGGCGAGTTTTGCTCTTGTTGCTCAGGCTGGAATGCAATGATGACGCTATCTCGGCTCACCGCAACTTCCGCCTCCGGGGTTCAATCTCCTGCCTCAGCATCCCGAGTAGCTGGGATTACAGGCAGGTGCCACCACGCACGGCTAATTTTGTATTTTTTGAGCAGAGATGTAGCTTCTCCATGTTGGTCAGGCTGGTCTGGAACTCCTGACCTCAGGGGATCTGCCCGCCTTGGCCTCCCAAAGTGCTGGGATTACAGGCGTGAGTCACCGCGTCCGACCTATTTATTTATTTATTTATTATTTATTTATGTATTTTTCTGAGACGGGATTTCACCATGTTTGCCAGGCTGGTCTCGAACTCCTTACCTCAGGTGTTCTGCCTGCCTCGGCCTCCCAAAGTGCTGGGATTACAGGCGTGAGTTACCGCCCCAGGCATATGTATTTATTTATTTTATTATTATTATTATTTTGAGACGGAGTCTCGCTCTGTCACCCAGGCTGGAGTGCAGTGGCCCGATCTTGGCTCACTACAAGCTCTGCCTCCCGGGTTCATGGCATTCTCCTGCCTCAGCCTCCCGAGTAGCTGGGACTACAGGCCCCTGCTACCATGCCTGGCTAACTTTTTGTATTTTTAGTAGAAGCAGGTTTTCACCGTGTTAGCCAGGATGGTCTCAATCTCCTGACCTTGTGATCCGCCCGCCTCGGCCTCCCAAAGTGCTGGGATTACAGGCGTGAGCCACCTCGCCCGGCCTGTTATTTATTTATTTTTTTGAGACAGAGTCTCGCCCTGTCACTGAGGCTGGAATGCAATGGTGCGATCGGCTCACTGCAGCCTCCATCTCCTGGGTTCAAGCAATTCTCCCGCCTCAGCCTCTGAGTAGCTGGGATTACAGGCATGCACTACCACACCTGGCTAATTTTTTGTATACAGACAGGGTTTCGCCATGTTGCCCAGGCTGGTCTTGAACTCCTGAGCTCAGGCAATCTACCCACCTTGGCCTCCCAAAGTGTTGGGATTATAGGCGTGAGCCACTGCACCCGACCTATTTATTTATTTTTTGAGACAGAGTCTCACTTTGTTGCCCAGGCTGGAGTTCAGTGGCGCCATCTCGGCTCACTGCAGCCTCCACCTCCCGGGTTCCAGTGATTCTCCTGCCTCAGCCTCTGGAATAGCTGGGATTACAGGAGTGTGCCACAATGCCCAGGTAATTTTTGTATTTTTAGTAGAGACAGTGTTTTGCCACGTTGACCAGGCTGGTCTTGAGCTCCTGACCTCAGGTGATCTGCCCGCCTTGGCTTCCCAAAGTGCTGGAATTACAAGCATGATCCACTGTACCTGGTCTCCTACCCCAATTTAGCCCAAAGGCCCAGCCTACAGCCCCCCATTTTCTTTCTTTCTTTCTTTCTTTCTTTCTTTCTTTCTTTCTTTCTTTCTTTCTTTCTTTCTCTTTCTTTCTTTCTTTTCTTTCTTTCTTTCTTTCTTTCTTTCTTTCTTTCTTTCCTTTTTCTTTCTTTCTTTTCTTTTTCTTTCTTTTTCTTTCTGTCTCTCTCTCTCTCTCTTTCCCCCCTCCTTCCCTCCTTCCTTCCTTCCTTTCTCTCTTTCTCTCTCTCTTTCTTTCTCTCTCTCTCTGTCTCTCTCTCTTTCTTTTTTTCGAGACGGTGTCTGGCTCTGTCACCCAGGCTGGAGTGCAATGGTGTGATCTTGGCTCATTGCAACCTCCACCTCCCAGGTTCAAGCAATTCTCCTGCCTCAGCCTCCCGAGTAGTTGGGAGTACAAGAGCTCGCCACCACGCACAGCTAGAGTCTCCTATTTTCACAAGCAGTTGGTTTCCTCCCTGAGTGCGAGGGTGTCATTGTTCCCATTTCACAAATGGGGAAACAGGCTTGAAAATGAAACCACTTGACTAAGATAGTCACAGCAGAGTCCAGATTCCTTGCAAATGAGAATGAAGATGTAAGCACTATGAGATCAGGCACTTTGCTAGGCTCAGTGCTTTTAAAAAAATAATAATTAATTTAGGCCAGGTGCGGTGGCTCACGCCTGTAATCCCAGCACTTTGGGAAGCTGAGGCGGGCAGATCACGAGGTCGAGATTGAGATCATCCTGGCCAGCATGGTGAAACCCTGTCTCTACTAAAAATAGAAAAATTAGGCCGGACGCAGTGGCTCATGCCTGTAATCCCAGCACTTTGGGAGGCTGAGGCAGGCGGATCACAGGGTCAGGAGATCGAGACCATCTTGGCTAACCCGGTGAAACTCTGTCTCTACCGAAAATGCAAAAAAAAAAAATTAGCCGGGCGTGGTGGCGGGCGCCTGTAGTCCCAGCTACTTGGGAGGCTGAGGCAGGAGAATGGTGTGAACCTGGGAGTTGGAGCTTGCAGTGAGCCGACATCTTTCCACTGCACTCCAGCCTGGGCAACATAGCAAGACTCCATCTCAAAAGGAAAAAAAAATGAGTTGGGCGTGGTCACACGTGCCTGTAGTCCCAGCTACTCAGGAGGCTGAGGCAGGAGAATCACTTGAACCCAGGTGGCGGAGGTTGTAGTGAGCCGAGATCGCGCCACTGCACTCCAGCCTGGCAACAGAGCTAGACTCTGTCTCAAAAAAAAAAAAAATATTCATTTTCTAAATAGAGACAGGGTCTCACTATGATGCCCAGGCTGGTCTTGAGCTCCTGGTCTCAAGTGATCCTCCTGCCTTGGTCTCCCAAAGTGCTGGGATTACAGGCATGAGCCATTGAGCCCGGCCAGGGTTCACTGCTTTCTTCTCAGTGACTGCAACAGACAGTGCCTGCACATAGTAGGTGCTCAACAGATGCATGGTGAATGGTGGTTAAACCAAAAGCTTGGATTCCTTCCCGGTCACAGGCAAAAGGCTCCACTCCTGGGTTTCATCTGCTTCAAGCTTAGGCAATAGCTCTGCCTCCACAAACCACAAGTCTGCCTGGGTGGCACTCTTCATGCGAGTGGGGGCGCTTCTGCTACAAGTTCCAGGCCCGGGGTGACAGTTCCAGCCCCCAGCTCTCCTCCCCTACCTATGGATGCATAATCTTGTTCCTCAAAATATACCAAGGAACCATGTCTCTCTCCTGAGGGAGTTGTCCTCAAGTCTAGAAGAGAATTCTCACCTGGATCTGAGGTGGAGGTTTGGAACTCTCCATTTCACCCTGCCCTACTGGGACCATCCCCTTTTCTCCCTAGGGGACCTGGACAGACTATCCCTGGCCCCTTCCAATCACAGTCATGTTTCCAGACTCCCAGCTCATTCACGACTCAGGAGTCCTGACTCCTAGCTCAGACCTTCTGGGGCACCCAGGTGTCTCGATCCCTAACCCATTCCCTGCAGGGCTTTGGAAGTCTGAGTCCCCACCCCTTGCAACACACAAACCTCCTCCGTGTAGGACACCAGTGGCCCCGGTCCCCAACCACAGCAGCAAACCCACGGGGGCTCTGGAGTGCAGGCCTCAGGTCCAACTCTCCAAACACTGAGAAGCCCCAACCTTGGTCCTTAAGGGACCTAGGAATTGGGGGACCCAAGCCCCTCCCCTCAGCTGTGGGGGCAGCTGAGCCAGGGGTCAGGCTGTAGTGGGGAGGCCAGAAGGGGCGGGGACAGCCGGGATTGGGAGGGGAGAACAGCAGCGTGGGCGGCTGGCAGAGGCAGGGAAAGACCAGCAGAGAGGAAAGAGAAACTGGGAGAGGGAGGAAGGGAGAAAGTGAGAAGGGAAATCGGAAAGAGAAAGGGGAGGAAACGGCAGACGTGGAGAGTCAGAGAGAGAGACAGAAAGAGGAAGAGACTGAGTGTGAAGGAGAGAGGACACGGGATGACAGAGAGAGAGAGAGAGAGAGAGAGCGTGAATGAGATAGAGACTTAAAGAAGAGACCCTGTGAGTCTGTCAATCAAAGATTTGGACAGAAACGGAAAGATTGGAGAGAGAGATAGAGGGAGAGAATGAGTGAGAGAGAAACTGGAAGAGACAGAGATCAGAGAGAGGAGAGACACAGAAAGTGAGACTGGGGAGGGAGATAGTGTAAAACGGAGAGAGAGAGAGAGAGAGAGAGAGAGAGAGAGAGAGAGAGAGAGACCATAAGAGACGGGAGACAGACAAAAAGTGAGCAGGTGAGGAGAGAGATTGAGAACTATGAGAGACAGCAGCTAAGAGACAAAGGAGGCGGGAGACTGCCTGGGTGCCGCTGCAGCACCCACACCGTCCTCTTGCCCCCTGTCTTTGGGACCCTAGAGCTGGGTAAGTTCCCTGGCTGGGCTGGGAGGGCCTCTCTGGGTGCACATTCCTGCTGCTGCGGGGCTTGGCTTGGGGAGTTGGCAGGGATGCTTTGGGGGCGCATGTGGGAGGGCGGGAGACAGGTAGCCTGGGGCAGCCGGAAGGAGGCAGGGAATAGGGGGTCCTTAAGCTCAGAGAGGGTCAAATTCCTGGCCTGAGTGCAGTGGGGAGGAATAAAGGATTCCCTATTCTCTGGCCTGGGCTGCAGACAGCTGCCCCCTCCCGCAGCTGCCAGGGCCGCCTACCTCTCTTGGCACCACTCTTGGTATGTGGTCACGGGCCATGGCCTCCCCCAGCCCCTCAGTCCCGAAACAACAGGCTCTTTCTCTGCAGCCTCCTCAGACCTCCGAGCCCCTGACCCCATCTCTGTCCCGCACCCGTCACTGCGGAGACACAGCCCCTTTCTTTCTCTCCCCAGCCCTTGATGGAGGGGAGCCGACCTCGAAGCAGCCTGAGCCTGGCCAGCAGCGCCTCTACCATCTCCTCACTCAGCAGCCTGAGCCCCAAGGTTTGAGCTTCCTGGCGGGGATGGGGAGGAAGGTGGGGCTCTGGGCCGCCCATCCCTCTGTTTCCCCAAGGACTCTGGTTGTTAAGGACAAGGATCCTTAGCAACAGGGTCTGCCAGACAGTAAGGTCCCAAATTGCCTACCAGCCGCAGCTAGGAATTCAGAGGCACTCCCAGCTCTGTCCCCACCCTTTGTATTTTCCTAATTCTAAACCAGAGTAACAACCTCCCTTGACCCTGGTTGCTAAGATAAAGCCGCTCCCCAGCCATGAGGCCCCTTGAGTTCTCAGAAGTAGCGGGCTGCTCTTGATTAGTGCTAGAACTTGCTGTCCTATCTCTTGCCATCCAGTCTATCCACTAATGAAATCCTATAAGGAAAGACCCTTCTCTGACGGTAAGACCCAAGGGGCCCCCGGATACTTGCATCCCAAATCGGCATCCCCGCCAAAAGCTTAGGGAGACACTCATTTCTTTTTCCTCCTGCCATTCCACACATGTCCTTTCATGTGTTCGGAGCCCGGAGATCTGACTCAGCCTTGGTCGGTACCACCGCTTCCCAGGAAGGGCATATTGTGGGGACCTGGCTAAGGATGCCTGAGATATCTGTGGGCATCGGGAGACGAGGCTCCATCCGGGCAGGATGGAGGGATTTAAGGCTTCCTCTCCTTGGACTTGGTTGCTAAGGGGTGTGACCGCAGGGCACCAGGGCATCCTTTGATTCACCGGGGACTCAGCGTGAGAGTTCCCCCTGATTATGGGGACCTCCCAGCCCATAGTCCCAGTTCACATCCCAAAAGCCCCTACTACAGCTCTAGCTCTGGTGGCCAAGGGCATCTGCTTCTTGGCAGTGGACCCTTGATCAGGAAATTGCTTCCCTACAGCCTCTTCCTTGCCTCTGAACACCTCCCTCCGCCCACCAAAAAGAGAGTCTCGGCCCGACACAGTGGCTCATGGCTGTAATCCCAGCACTTTAAGAGTCTGAGGCGGGTGGATCACCTGAGGTCAGGAGTTCGAGACCAGCCTGACCAACATGGCAAAACCCTGTCTCTAGTAAAAATACAAAAATTAGCCAGGCGTGGTGGCACGTGCCTGTAATCTCAGCTACTCGGGAGGCTGAGGCAGGAGAATCACTTGAACCTGAGAGGTGGAGGTTGCAGTGAGCCAAGATTGTACCATTGCACTCCATCCTGGCGACAGAGCGAGACTCTGCCTCAAAAGGAAAAAAAAAAAAAAAAAAGAGTTTCTCCCAGTCTGGGCAACAAAGTGAGACCCCCTCCTCTACAAAAAGTCAAAAAATTAGCTGGGCATGGTGGTACGTGCCTGTGGTCCCAGCTATATGGGAGGCTGAGGCTGGAGGATCACCTGAGTCCAGGAGGTAATGGTTGCAGTGTTTAGGCCATTGCACTCCAAAGAGGCTGTCTCAAAAAAAAAAAAAAAAAAAAAAAAAAGAGTCTCTTAACTCTGCAATAAGAACACCTCCCAATTCTGATCTCCAACCTCAGCCCCCACCTTGACCCTTCTCTTTCTTTCTTTTTTTTTTTTGAGATGGAGTCTCGCTCTGTCGCCCAGGCTGGAGTGCAGTGGTGCGATCTCCGCTCACTGCAAGCTCTGCCTCCCGGGTTCTCACCATTCTCCTGCCTCAGCCTCCCGAGTAGCTGGGGCTACAGGCGCCTGCCACCATGCCTGGCTAACTTTTTTGTATTTTTAGTAGAGACGGGGTTTCACCGTGTTAGCCAGGATGGTCTCGATCTGCTGACCTCCTGATCTGCCCGTCTTGGCCTCCCAAAGTGTTGGGATTACAAGCGTGAGCCACTGTGCCCGGACTTACTTTTTTTTTTTTTTTTATGACAGAGTCTTACTCTGTCACCAAGGCTGGAGTACAGTGGAACAATCTCAGCTCACTGCAACCTCTGCTTCCTGTGTTCAAGAGATTCTTGTGCCTCGGCCTCCCAAGTAGCCGGGACTATGAGCACACGCCACTGTGCCTGGCTAATTTTCATATTTTTAGTAGAAACGGGGTTTCACCATGTTGGCCAGGCTGGTCTCGAACTCCTGGCCTCATGTGATCCTCCCACCTCAGCCCCTCAAAATGCTGTGAGCCACTGCGCCCGGCTGGTCCTTGACCCATTTCTCAGGGCAGCCAAGCGAGAGCCTACGGTTGCCTGTGTCCACCCTCACCGCCTCTCGGGACCATCCTAGGCTCTCCCTGTTCACTTCTGTTTTTATTTATTTATTTATTTATTTATTATTTATTTATTTTTTATTTTTTTATTTTTTTTTTTGAGACGGAGTCTCGCTCTGTCGCCCAGGCCGGAGTGCAGTGGCCAGATCTCAGCTCACTGCAAGCTCCGCCTCCCGGGTTCACGCCATTCTCTTGCCTCAGCCTCCCAAGTAGCTGGGACTACAGGCGCCCGCCACCTCGCCCGGCTAGTTTTTTGTACTTTTCAGTAGAGACGGGGTTTCACCGTATTAACCAGGATGGTCTCGATCTCCTGACCTCGTGATTCGCCCGTCTCGGCCTCCCAAAGTGCTGGGATTACAGGCTTGAGCCACCGCGCCCGGCCTCTGTTCACTTCTGTCCCCTTCTCTCCTCAGAAGCCCACCCGGGCAGTAAACAAGGTCCATGCCTTTGGGAAGAGAGGCAATGCGCTCAGGAGGGATCCCAACCTTCCCGTGCACATCCGAGGCTGGCTTCATAAGCAGGTGGGGTCAGCAGGAGAAGGAAAAGGACACTGGAGTCTGTGCCCCTGACTGTCCTCTGTCTCTCACCTTCCAAGTCCCCAAATAGGCTTTCTTTTTCTTACTATCACTGCCCCTCTCCTTATTCTGTCATTGTTTGTTTGTTTGTTTATTTTTAAGACAGTCTCTTCCTGTCACCCAGGCTGGAGGGCAATAGCGTGATCTCGGCTCAATGCAACCTCTGGCCTCCAGTTCAAGTGATTCTCATGCCTCAGCCTCCTGAGTAGCTGGGCTTATAGGCATGCGCCACCATGCCTAGCTAATATTTGTATTTTCGGTAGAGATGGGGTTTTACCATGTTGGCCAGGGTGGTCTCAAACTCCTGACCTCAAGTCAGGAGCCTGCTAAGCTCCCTAAAATGCTGGGATTAGAGGCGTGAGCCACCACGCCTGGCCCATTCATTCATTCTTTCTTGAGTACTTCTTGGACACTTACAATGTTCTCAATCCCAGGGCACACACCATGCAAATAACACAAACAAGTATTTATAGTACATTCCAGATCAGGTGGAACATGGGTGGATAATAAATTAGTAAATAAATAAATGAACTTGATCATTTCAGATTGCAGGAAGGGCTATGAAGAAGTAACATAGAGGCCAGGTTCAGTGGCGTAACCCCAGCATTTTGGAAGGCCAAGGCGGGAAGATCGCTTGAGCTTAGGAGTTCTAGACCAGCCTGGGCAACATGAACAAACCTCATCTCTACAAAACACACACACACACACACAAAAAAAAAAAAAAAAAAAAAAAACAAAAAAACCTAGCTGAGTATGGTGGTGTGTGCCTGTAGTCCCAGCTTCTGGGGAGGCTAAGGCAATAGGATTGCTGAAGCCCAGGAAGGTGAGGCTGCAGTGAACTGTGTTCATGTCACTGCATGCCAGCCTGGGCGACAAGTCCCAGCTACTCGGGAGGCTGAGGCAGGAGAATGGCATGAACCCGGGAGGCGGAGCTTGCAGTGAGCCGAGATCGCGCCACTGCACTCCAGCCTGGGCGACAAAACGAAGACTCTGTCTCAAAGAAAAAAAACAAAACAAAAAAAACCCTAAATTATCCAGCATCGTGGCAGGCACCTGTAGTCCCAGCTCCTCAGGAGGCTGAGCCGGGAGAATCGCTTGAACTCGGGAGGCGGAGGTTGCAGTCAGCCGAGATTGTGCCATTGCACTCCAGCCTGGGTGACAGAGCGAGACTTCATCTCAAAAACAAACAAACAAACAAACAAAAAACAGTAAGTGATGGAAATTGGAATTTAGGGATATTTGTGGAGCCTTAATTTTATTCTATATGGGTGGCTTTTTTTTTTTTTAATTCACGTGTATCTTAATTCCTCTGTTTGAAAAGGGGACTAACGTGATCTGATGTGTAATTTTAAAAGATCATGCGGGCTTCTATGGGAATGGGTTGAGGAGAAGAGGCACACAAGGTTGGAGATAGTGGAGTAGTTCAGGCAGAGGCGATGTGGAGACGCTGAATTTGGGTCATGGCTCAGTGCCACCTTCCTGGCCTGTCTGTGTCTCAGGCTCCAGAATAATTGGACTAAGTCTCTGTAGCTAAAGTCTCTGCCTATATGTGATCCATATCTCATCCACACCTCCCTAAAACTTCTCAGTCTCCAACGGATAGACGAGAAAACATGAGGGTGGATTCTAGGGGGAAGTGACTTGTTCCAGAGCATAGTTTGAAAGTGGGGGAGGCCAGACGCAGTGGCTCATGCCTGTAATCCCAGCACTTTGGGAGGCTGAGGTGGGTAGATCATTTGAGGTCAGGAGTCCAAGACCAGCCTGGTCAACATAGTGAAATCCTGTCTCTACTAAAAATACAAAAATTAGCTGGGTGTGGTGGTGTGTGCCTGTAATCTCAGCTACTCGGGAGGCAGGAGAATCATTTGAACCTGGGAGGCGGGGGTTGCCATGAGCCGAGATCATGCCACAGCACTCCAGCTTGAGCTACAGAGCAAGACTCTGTCTTTTTTTTTTTTTTTTTTTTTGAGACGGAGTCTTGCTCTGTCGCCCAGGCTGGAGTGCAGTGGCCGGATCTCAGCTCACTGCAAGCTCCGCCTCCCGGGTTTATGCCATTCTCCTGCCTCAGCCTCCCGAGTAGCTGGGACTACAGGCGCCCACCACTTCGCCCGGCTAGTTTTTTGTATTTTTTAGTAGAGACGGGGTTTCACTGTGTTAGCCAGGATGGTCTCAATCTCCTGACCTCGTGATCCGCCCGTCTCGGCCTCCCAAAGTGCTGGGATTACAGGCTTGACCAACCGTGCCCGGCCAAGACTCTGTCTTAAAAAAAAAAAAGAAAGAGAGAGAGAGAAAAGAAAAGAAAGCAGGGGAGTCCGGAATCTATGTCAGCACAACCACCATACTTGTAATAGAAGTAAGGCTTCTATTCTATTATATTATGTTCAGAGGGTTTCCAGCTCTCCTTCTTATCCACTCCATCACCCCAAACATGTGTCTCTGTATCTCTGTCTCTCCTCTCTCTCTGGGTCTTTCTCCTGTGCCTCCACCCCACTCCCAGGCTCAAGTGATCCTCCCTCCTCAGCCTCCTGAGTAGCTGGGACTACAGGCATGCGCCACAACATCCGGTTAATTTTTATTCTTTTAGTAGAGACGGGGTTTCGTCATGTTACCCAAGCTGGTCTCAAACTCCTGGAATCAAGTGATCCACCCGCCTTGGCCTCTCAAAGTGCTGGGATTACAGGCGTGAGCCATTGTGCCCAGCCTCACCCCACTCCCTTGATCCCTGCTCTATATCTCTGTTCTTCTCTCTCCAAATTTCTTTCTCTCTCTGGCTCTCTGTCCCCATCGTCACTGCCTTCATCTCTTTTTTCTGTTTCCCTTTACTCAGGCCCCTCCTCCTATCTCTCTCCCCAGGACAGCTCGGGGCTCCGTCTCTGGAAACGCCGCTGGTTCGTCCTCTCCGGCCATTGCCTCTTTTATTACAAGGGTCAGTGGTTGGCTGGCTTGGGGTGGGAGGGCCCCCCAACCTGCCCTTCTCTCTAGCGTCTTGGCCTCCTGATCCCTGTGTGATCCTTGACCTCAGCCCCTCTTTGCAGACAGCCGCGAGGAGAGTGTCCTGGGCAGTGTCCTGCTCCCCAGCTACAATATTAGGCCAGATGGGCCGGGAGCCCCCCGAGGGCGGCGCTTCACCTTCACCGTGAGTCCGTCCATCCGTGTTGTGCACCAGGCAATGGGAACTGGAGATGAGGGGGGTAGATCCAAGTCCTAACAAGCACTGGAGTATCCATTACTGGAGATAAAAGGTCTTGACAAGGGTCAATTGCATCCTCCTTTGATTTTGTTTTGGTTTGTTTTTTTGTTTTGTTGTTTTTTGAGACAGTCTCACTCTGTCGCCCAGGCTGGAGTGCAGTGGTGCGATCTCGGCTCACTGCAACCTCCGCCTCCTGGGTTCAAAGGATTCTCCTGCCTCAGCCTCTGGAGTAGCTGGGATTACAGGTGCACGCCACCATGCCCGGCTCATTTTTTTATATTTTTAGTAGAGATGGGGTTTCGCCGTGCTGGCCAGGCTGGTCTCAAACTCCTGGCCTCAGTTGATCTGCCCACCTCAGCCTCCCAAAATGCTGGGATTACAGGTGTGAGCCACCACGCCTGGCCGTTCTTTTCTCTCTTTTCTTTTCTTTTTTTCTTTTCTTTTCTCTCTCTCTCTTTCTCTCTCTCTCTTTCCTTCTCTTTCTCTCTTTCTCTCCCTTCCCTTCCCTCTTTCCCTCTTTACTTTCTTTCTTGACGGTCTTGCTCTGTCACCCAGGCTGGCGTGCAGTGACGCAAAGTGCAGTCTTCCCGCCTCAGTCTCCCGGGTAGCTGGGACTACAGGTGCGCTCCACAACGTCCGGCTAATTTTTTGATTTTTTTGTAGAGACGGGGTTGGAAGGAGGTGGCGGGTGGGGGGGGGTCTCATTATGTTGCCCAGGCTGGTCTCAAACGATCCTCCCGCATCGGCCTCCCAAAGCACTGGGTTTACGGGAGTGAGCCACTGGCCCGGCCTGTCCTCCTTTTTACAAGGCCGGGGAGTCCGGATTCCAAGCCTTCTCTTCCCGCAGGCAGAGCACCCGGGCATGAGGACCTACGTTTTGGCCGCTGACACCTTAGAAGACCTGCGGGGCTGGCTACGAGCGCTGGGCCGGGCCTCCCGTGCGGAGGGGGACGACTGGTGAGTAGAGGTCCAAGCCATGCTCCTGACCCTCCACCCTGAGTCAGTCTAATCACCCCAACTTCTCCCCTTTGGGGCCCTGCCCCCTTGAGTGTCCAATCACTAGTCTTCTAGTTAGGCGCCTCGTCTTCTAGGCCCCACCTCCAGGGAACTTTTCCAATCAGCAAAAGTCTTTCTCCTTTAAGCTCCGCCCACCATCTTGTCCGTCCCCGCTCCCCAGCTGACCCTTCAATCACGCACTCAGCTGTGCCCCAGGAATGATCAATGTTCCACACTCTCGGATTGGCTCCTTCTGAAGTCCCCTGAGCTGCCACCTAAACAATGGCAGGTAAAAGATAGTGTCAGGTTTTTAAAAAAATGTCAGACTATCTTAAGCTCTGACATGGCTTGCGCCAATTATCAGGCTGGAAACTGGACTACCTGGCTGAGTCTATCCCATATTCCGGGGCATTGGGTCCAGCAACCTGGATAGACGTTGTGGCCTGGCGCACAGGTCAGTTCCACATTGGAGGCCTCAGTTTCCCCGTCTGAAGAAGGGGACGATGATTTATAATGCACAGCTTTCCTTTTTTGGGTGCATCCTTGTGTTCTTACCTGTGACAAGAGAATAAGGCTGTTATGAAGTTCGAAGGAGTGATAGCTTATCTGTGTCCACTCGCTAGTGGGCAAACCAGATCACCCGCACGGCCCCAGCCCGGGGAGGGCCCTGGCGGCCCCGGTGGTCCCCCGGAGGTGAGCAGCGGGGAAGAGGGGCGCATCTCGGAATCACCGGAAGTGGCTCGACTCTCCAGAGGTCGTGGTAGACCCAGGCTGCTCACTCCCAGCCCCACAATTGACCTCCAGTCTGGACTCCAGATCCGGCGGGCAAGAAGCCCCGAGTGAGTAGGGAGGACACAGGTGGGGGCGTGGCCTAAGTGAAGGGCGGGGCCGGAAACTGGTTGGGGGCGGGCCTTAGCGCTTTCTGCCTGACTGTGTGTGACTTTCTGGGGCTCCCGTGCGGGGGTCACAGCCTGTCGGGGAGAACTGGAGGGGAAGATGCCACAAAGCGGACATTACTGAGAATTTGGACAGTAGAGGAGGATTCTACCCCAGAAGGACAGTAAGACACAGTGAAGTGAGACATGTCCTTGAGGCTGACTTGATGGGTAAGAAGGTGGATGGAGAGGGCTCTAGTTGACTCAGTTCCCCGATTCTCTCCTTCCCACAGCCTGTTCACCCCCCTCTCTCGCCCTCCCTCGCCTCTGAGCCTCCCCCGTCCCCGTTCTGCTCCTGCGCGGCGACCTCCTGCCCCCTCAGGAGACACAGCACCCCCTGCCCGACCTCATACCCCGCTGAGTCGCATTGATGTCCGACCTCCTCTGGATTGGGGCCCCCAACGCCAGACCCTCTCCCGACCCTCCACTCCCCGCCGAGGACCTCCCTCAGAGGCTGGGGGAGGAAAGCCCCCCAGGAGTCCCCAGCACTGGAGTCACGAGCCCAGAACACAGGTGAGCAGAGAGGTGAGAAGGAGGGGACTACATCTCCCATAAGGCCTCAGGGCTGTCTTTTCGTATTCTCAAGGCCATTGCTCCCTGGGTGTCACGGGTATTGTAGTCCGTAATGATCTCAGCTGGGCTCAGGTGAGAGAGAGCTTGAACCGTATTTCCCATCAGGCACCTGGGCTGTCTTTCTAGGCTGGTCTGCGGCCATTGCTTTTTTTTTTTTTTTTTTTTCTTTGAGATGGAGTCTTGCTCTGTCGCCAAGATTAGAGGTCTGTGGCACAATCTTGGCTCACTACAACCTCCGTCTTCCGGGTTCAGGCGATTCTCCTGCCTCAGCCTCCCAAGTAGCTGGGATTACAGGCACCCGCCACCACATCCGGCTGATTTTTGTATTTTTGGTAGAGACGAGGTTTCCTCATGTTGACCAAGCTGGTCTGGAACTCCTGACTTCTGGTGATCCGCCCACCTCAGCCTCCCAAAGTACTGGGATTACAGGCGTGAGCCACCGCGCCTGGCCCAGCCATTGCTCTTTAAGCATCATGGGGATTGTAGTCCTGGATACTCCGTGCCAAGACAGTGCAGTGAGAGGTTTGCATCTCCCTTGTGTCCCCAGTTCACCTTGCAAGTTGGTTGCCTGCTGTTTTGTCTGAGCATAATGGGACTGTAGCTCAGAATATCCATAAGCTGACTGCAAATCTGAGAATGACAGCCGCAAATTCCGTCATCCCGTGGGGCTGTTTTGCCAGGCTGGTGCATTTATTATCACCCTCTGTGTCCCCACAGTGGCACACAGCTGGAGAGCAGGTAGTTGAGGAAGTTGAGAGGGCCCAGTTCTGAACCTCAAAATATCTCCTAAAGCACTTCAATTATGGACACGCCCACTCTATTATTTGTCACTAAGACATGCCAATTTCTAAACATCTCCATTTCAACATTCCTCCCAGGCACCCTCTGGCTCCTCCACTTATCTCCAGCTCCCCCCGCGGCCCCCTGGGACTCGGGCCTCCATGGTTTTATTGGTAGGTATCCTGGAGTACCCCGAATCTACCGGAGCCCCCTCCTTTCCTTTCTTCTCTATGAGGAATGTCATCTCCTGACCTAGGGTGCCTAGAGAACCGTAGATATTTCAAAGCCCCTGGGTGGGTATGAGATTCCTGTGGTTGCTGTAACAAAGTGCATGGCTGAAAACAACAGGAATGGATTCTCTTCCGGTTCTGGAGGCCAGAGGCCTGGAGTCAAGGGATCAGCAGGGCTGTACGCCCACTGATGGCTCTAGGGAGGAGCTTTTTTTGAGTCTCTCTTAGCTTCAGGTGGTTGCCAGCAATTCCTGGGGTTCTGTGGCTTTTTCTATGGCTACATCTTTGCCTCCATCATCCCATGGCCATCTTCCTTTGTGTTTTTGTTGCTGTCCGTCTCCTCCTATTAGGACACCCCTATGACATCACTGTAACTTAACTTACATCCGCAAAAACCTCTTTCTTTCATTCTCTCTTTCTCTCCCTTTCTTTCTTTCTTTTCTTTCTTTCTTTTTTTTTTTTTTTTTTTGAGACGGAGTCTCGCTCTGTCACCCAGGCTGGAGTGCAGTGGCCAGATCTCAGCTCACTGCAAGCTCCGCCTCCCGGGTTCCTGCCATTCTCCTGCCTCAGCCTCCCGAGTAGCTGGGACCACAGGCGCCGCCACCTCGCCCGGCTAATTTTTTGTGTTTTTAGTAGAGACGGGGTTTCGCCGTGTTAGCCAGGATGGTCTCAATCTCCTGACCTAGTGATCCGCCCGTCTCGGCCTCCCAAAGTGCTGGGATTACAGGCTTGAGCCACTGCGCCCGGCCTCTTTTCTTTTTCTTTCTTTCTTTCTTTCTTTCTTTCTTTCTTTCTTTCTTTCTTTCTTTCTTTCTTTCTTTCTTTCTTTCTTTCCTTCTTTCCTTCCTTTCTTTCTTTCTTTCTTTCTCTCTTTCTCTTTTCCTTGCTTCCTTCTTTCTTCCTTTCTTTCCCTTCTTTCTTTCTCTCTCTTTCTTTTCCTTCCTTCCTCCCACCCTCCATCTATCTACTTTCTTTCTCTTTTCCTTCCTTCCTTCTTCCTTTCTTTACCTTCTTTCTCTTTCTCTCTCTCTTTCTTTTCCTTCCTCCTCCCTCCCTCCATCTTTCTTTCTTTCTTTCTCTCTCTCTCTCCCCCCTCCCCCTCCTTCCCTCCCTCCCTTCCTTCCTTCTTCCTTTCTTTACCTTCTTTCTCTCTTTCTTTCTCTCTCTCTTTCTTTTCCTTCCTCCTCCCTCCCTCCATCTTTTTTTCTTTCTCTCTCTCTCTCTTTCTTTTCCTTCCTCCTCCCTCCCTCCATCTTTCTTTCTTTCTTTCTCTCTCTCCCCTTCCCCCTCCTTCCCTCCCTCCCTTCCTTCTTCTTCCTTTCTTTCCCTTCTTTCTCTCTCCCTCTCTTTTCCTTCCTTCCTCCCTCCCTCCATCTTTCTCTCTTTCTTTTCTGTCTTTTTTTTTTTTTGAGATGGAGTCTCGCTCTGTCGCGCAGGCTGGAGTGCAGTGGCGCGATCTCGGCTCACTACAAGCTCTGCCTCCCGGGTTCAAGCCATTCTCCTCCCTCAGCCTCCCGAGTAGCTGGAACTACAGGTGCCCACCACCTCGCCCGGCTAATTTTTTGTATTTTTCGGTGGAGACGGGTTTCACTGTGTTAGCTGAAGGGGTGGCCTGCCCCTCCACACCTGTGGGCATTTCTCGTTAGGTGGAACGAGAGACTTGAGAAAAGAAATGAGACACAGAGACAAAGTATAGAGAAAGAAAAAGTGGGCCCGGGGGGCCAGCACTCAGCATATAGAGGACCCACGCTGGCACGGGTCTCTGAGTTCCCTCAGTATTTATTGATCGTTATCTTTACCATCTTAGAAAAAGGGAAGTGACAGGATAATAGGATCATCGTAGGGAAAAGGTCAGCAGTAAGACATATGAATTAAGATCTCTGTGACATAAGTTTAAGGAAAAGTGCTGTGCCTTGATATGCATATGTAAACATCTCCATAAATCTTTTTAGTGCATAAAAAGCAGCATTGTGCTAGCAAGACCCACCTTTCGCCCTAAGGCGATTTTCTCCCATTTTAGTAAATAGAACATACAATCAAGTTTTACACCGAGATGTTCCACTGCCCAGGGACGGACGTGCAGGAGACAGATGCTTTTCTCTATCTCAATTGCCAAGAGGCCTTCTTTCCTCTTATACTAGTCCTCCTCAGCACAGACCCTTCACGGGTGTCAGCCTGGGGGACGATCAGGTCTTTCCCTTCCCACACGGCCATATTTCAGACTATCACATGGGGAGAAACCTTGGACAATACCTAGCTTTCCTAGGCAGAGGTCCCTGCGGCCTTGGCAGTGTACGTGTCCCTGGGTACTTGAGATTAAGAGAATGGCGATGACTTTTCACAAGCATACTGCCTTCAGGCACTTGTTTAACAAAGCACACCCTGCACAGCCCAAAATCCGTTAAACCTTGAGTCACCACAGCACATGTCTCTTGCAAGGACAAGGTTGGGGGTAGGGTCACAGATTAACAGCATCTCAAATATAGAACAAAATGGAGTCTCTGATGTCTACTTCTTTCTATGTAGACACAGTAACAGTCTGATCTCTCTTTTCCCCACATTAGCCAGGATGGTCTCGATCTCCCGACCTTGTGATCCACCTGCCTCGGCCTCCCAAAGTGCTGGGATTACAGGCGTGAGCCACCACGCCCGGCCCTTTATTTTATTCTTAATCATAAATAAAATGTCTTAACTTCTCCATTAATTATAATATTTGCCATGGCTATTTGATCAAAAGCGCATTATTGATCTTTCTGAAGCCAAGAATCTGGTAGTTGGTCTACTGAAGTCTGCTAATGCTTAGAAGGAAGCTGATAAGGAGAGGGGTCGCTAGGCTTGGTGGCTCATGCCTATAATCCCAGGACATCGGGAGGCCAAGGCAGGAGGATGGTTGAGATCAGGAGTTCAAGACTGGTCTAGGTGACATAGTGAGACCCCAGCCCTACAAACAAACAAACAAACAAGCAAACAAAAAACCTTAGCCGACACTGGTGGCTAGCACCTGTTGTCACAGCTACTCGGGAGGCTGAGGTGGGAGGATCCTTTGAGCCTAAGAGTTCAAGGCTGCAGTGAGTCATGATCATGCCACTGCACCCCAGCCCGGGTGACAGACCTTGCCTCAGAAAAAAAAAAAGCCAGGCATGATGGTCATGCCTATAATCCCAGCACTTTGGGAGGCTGAGGCAGGAGGATTGCTTGAGCCCAGGAGTTTGAGATCAGCCTGGGCAACATGGCAAAACCCCATCGCTACCAACAACAACAACAACAACAATTTTAAAACTACAAAAATAAGCCGGGCATGGTGTGTGCACCTGTGGTCCCAGCTACTCAGGAGGCTGAAGTGGGAGGATTGCTTGAGCCCAGGAGGTTGAGGCTGCAGCAAACCATGATCGCATGACCGCACTCCAGCCTGGGTGACAGAGCAAGACCTTATCTCTTAATAAATAAATAAATAAATAAATAGTGGGGTACCTATCAGTAGAAACAGGGCATGGCTCAGCACTGAGTTACAATGATGACCAGCCTATCCCCTTTGACCCCTGACTTTTCTCCCTCTCTTCAGCCGGGTCCTCCCCTGGAGTCAACTTTCCACCAAAGCTTGGAGACAGATGTAAGTTCTCACAATCCTTCCTGAGTTCCCAGAGTTGGGGAGAGAATGTTCTAGATGGTGGGAGGAGCAGCAGGGGAAGAGCCAGATCTGGACCATCAGTAGCTCCCGCTCTCCTTTCTCCAGACACTGCTGACCAAGTTGTGTGGGCAGGACCGGCTCCTGCGGAGGCTGCAGGAGGAGATAGACCAGAGGCAGGAGGAGAAGGTGCGAGGCCCTGGACCGAGGATGGGGTGCCTGGCCTCTCTGCCTGCCCTGAGCCCTTCCTGACTGTGGAAGTCAGGATGCTGACTGAACGTCCGGGACGTGAGAGGACACCTTTTCTTTATTCTTGGGACTAGGCATGGCTTCCGAAGTCTAACCACCCTCTCTCGGTGCAGGAGCAACTAGAAGCAGCTCTGGAGTTGACCCGGCAGCAGCTGGGCCAAGCCACCAGGGAGGCTGGGGCTCCTGGGAGGGCCTGGGGTCGCCAGCGCCTCCTGCAGGACCGGCTGGTCAGTGTGAGGGCGACCCTCTGTCACTTGACTCAGGTGAGCACCTGGGAAGGGGCCCGCCCTCCTAGGAGGCCCCAGGACTATGCAAGTGGTTATGAAGGGGACTTGCCGCAGAGGGCTCATAGGAAGATCGTTCTTCAGAAATCTACACTCCAAATTTTATTTTATTATTTTTCTCTCTCCTCATTGTCTCGTAACCACTCTATTTTTTAAATTTTTTTTTTGAGACGGAGTCTTGCTGTGTCGTCCAGGCTGGAGTGCAGTGGTGCCATCTCAGCTCACTGCAACCTCCGCCTCCCGGGTTCAAGCAATTCTCCCACCTCAGCCTCCCAAGTAACTGGGATTACAGGCACATGCCACTGCACCCGGCTTATTTTTGTATTTTTAGTAGAGATGGGGTTTGGTCATGTTGGCCAGGCTGTTCTCGAACTGCTAACCTCAGGTGATCAGCCTGCCTCAGCCTCCCGAAGTGCTGGGATTATAGGCATGAGCCACACTGTGCCCGGCCTTAAGTAACTCTGAGAATTATTATATGTGATATGTGTAAATGAATGAATGAATGAATATTTAACACTTCAGGTACTTGGCACATGGTAAGCAATACTTAAGTGTCAGTTATAACTATTATCTGCAAAATGGAGACACTAATAGTAACTACCTCATAGGAATTAAATGAGAGCTGAGAATGGTGCCTAGCCCATGGTCAATGCCCAATAAGTGTTAGCTGATATTATCATTGTTATTGTTGGTATTGTCAAGGAAGTTCCTGCTGCCGCAGGGTGAGTGGGTGCTATGGTTATTATTTTTTTTTTTGAGACGGATTCTTGCTCTGTTGTTCAGGCTGGAGTGTAGCGCCCGGATCCAGGCTCACTGCAACCTCTGTCTCCCTGGTCCAACTGATTCTCCTGCCTCAGCCTCCCGAGTACCTGGGACTACAGGCCCTCGCCACCACTCCTGGCTAATTTTTGTATGTTTAGTAGAGACGGGGTTTCGCCATGTTGGCCAGGCTGGTCTCAAACTCCTGACCTCAAGTGATCCGCCCGCCTTGGCCTTCCAAAGTGCTGGGATTACAGAATTGAGCCACCGCTCCTGGCCTGGTGCTGTGGTCTTTTGACTGTCTAATGAATTCATTAGATCTGTAGACTCTGCTACCTAGGAGAGTGCAGAAGTAATCCTGGGGATTCAGGGAATGCTGTTACTTGTCTGTACTAGCAGTGCACTGGAATTGCAGGTTCCATACAGACTTTGGGGTTCCCAGTAGTCCAAGCAAAGAGGCCCATGGGAATTGTAGTCCATATGACCTCAGGACTCCAGGGACCAAGCTCCCTTACCTCCTTCTTAGCTGACAAATGATAGGGTAGGGAAGGATCTGGTGGGAGAGGGAGCTAACCTGTGTCTCCCCCTTTATGCAACCTGAGGAGCGAGAGAGGGTTTGGGACACATACAGTGGCCTGGAGCAGGAGCTGGGCACCTTAAGAGAGACCCTGGAGTACCTGCTGCACCTCGGTTCTCCCCAGGTAAATCCCTGCTTGGAGACCCCAAGACCCACCCCCAGCTCCAAGTTCTGCCTGGAAGTCCTTTCAGCATTTAATCTCCGCCCACAGAATCGGAGCCCCCCTCAGTTCACCCTTACCCTGCTTTCTGTCCTTGCAATCTAAACCCCTTATTTTAGTTAAGACCATGCCCTTTAGGGTTTGTTTTCTTATTCTCTCATTTGAATTTTAATTAACCTTCAATTTTGAATGCCGTTTTCTCGAGCTGTTATCCAATTTCTGCCGTAAAGTTGTTTATTTGCTTGTTTGTTTTTGACACAGAGTCTCACTCTGTCACCCAGGCAGGAGTGCAGTAGCACAATCTTGGTGCACTGCAACCTCCACCTCCCAGGTTCAAGTTATTCTCCCACCTCAGCTGCCCAAGTAGCTAGGGCTACAGGCACATGCCACCACATCTGGCTACTTTTTATATTTTTAGTAGAGACATGTTGGTCAGGCTGATCTTGAACTCCTGCCCTCAAGTGATCTGCCTGCCTTAGCCTCCCAAAGTGCTGGGATTACAAGCATGAGCCACTGCGCCACGCCTAATTTCTGCTGTAAAGTTGGCTATAATTTTACAACATTCCTCTTTTTTTTTTTTCCTTTGAGACGGAGTTTAACTCTTGTTGCCCGGGCTGGAGTGCAATGGCACGATCTCAGCTCACCGCAGCTTCCGCCTCCCGGGCTCAAGTAATTCACCCACCTCAGCCTCCCCAGTAACTGGGATTACAGGCGCCTGCCACTACACCTGGCTAATTTTGTATTTTTAGTAGAGACGGAGTTTCTCCATGTTGGTCAGGCTGGTCTTGAACTCCAGACCTCAGGTGATCCGCTGCCTCGGCCTCCAAAAGTGCTGGGATTACAGGCGTGAGCCACCGTGCCCGGCCTACAACATTCTTTTTAAAAAATGTATTGTGAGTACATAGCAGATGAATATATTTATGGAGTACATAAGGTATTTTGGTACAGGCATGCAATGTATAATAACCCCATCATGGAAAATGGGGCGTCCATCCCTTCAAGCATTTATCTTTTGTGTTACAAACAATCCATTATACTCTTTTTTTATTTTTATTTTTATTTTTTTGAGACAGAGTCTTGCTCTATTGCCCAAGCTGGAGTGCAATGGCACAATCTCGGCTCACCACAACCTCCACCTCCCAGGTTCAAGCGATTCTCCTCCCTCAGCCTCCCAAGTAGCTGGGATTACAGACGCCCGCCACTACGCCCGGCTAACTTTTCTATTTTTGGTAGAGATGGGGTTTCAACATATTGGTCAGGCTGGTCTTGAACTCCTGACCTCAGGTGATCCGCCCACCTCGGTCTCCCAAAGTGCGGGAATTACCAGAGTGAGCCACTGCGCCCGGCCTACTATTTTATTTTTATTTTATTTATTTTATTATGGTTTCTGAGATGGAGTCTCGCTTTGTTGCCCAAGATAGAGTGCAATGGCACAATCTCAACTCACTGCAACCTCCGCCTCCCAGGTTCAAGCAATTCTCCTGCCTCAACCTCCTGAGTAGCTGGGATTACAGGCATGTGCCATCATGCCCAGCTAATTTTGTAGTTTTAGTAGAGACAAGATTTCTCCATGTTGGTCCAGCTGGTCTTGAACTCACAACCTCAGGTGATACACCGGCCTCGGCCTCCCAAAGTGCTGAGATTACAGGCGTGAGCCACCGCACCCAGCCCTTCTTTTATTTTTTATTTTATTTACTTATTTATTTTGAGATGGAGTCTTGCTCTGTCTCCAGGCTAGAGTGCAGTGACACAATCTCAACTCACTGCAACCTCCGCCTCCCAGGTTCAAGCAATTCTCCTGCCTCAGCCTCCCAAGTAGCTGAGACTGCAGGTGTGCGCCACCATGCTCAGCTAATTTTTGTATTTTTAGCAGAGACGGGGTTTCACCATGTTGGCCAGGATGGTCTAGATCTCTTGACTTCATGATCTGCCCGCCTCGGCCTCCCAAAGTGCTGGGATTATAGGCGTGAGCCACCGCACCTGGCCAATGCCTTTTGTTTTAATGCCTACTTTCAGCCCCTCTATTTATTTATTTATTTTATTTATTTTTTTTTTTTGAGACGGAGTCTGGCTCTGTTGCCCAGGCTGGAGTGCAGTGGCTGGATCTCAGCTCACTGCAAGCTCCGCCTCCCAGGTTTAAGCCATTCTCCTGCCTCAGCCTCCGGAGTAGCTAGGACTACAGGTGCCCGCCACCTCGCCCGGCTAGTTTTTTGTACTTTTTTTTTTTGTTGTTGTTGTTGAGACAGAGTCTCGCTTTGTCGCCCAGACTGGAGTGCAGTGGCCGGATCTCAGCTCACTGCAAGCTCCGCCTCCCGGGTTCACGCCATTCTCCTGCCTCAGCCTCCCGAGTAGCTGGGACTACAGGCGCCCGCCACCTCGCCCGGCTAAGTTTTTTTGTATTTTTAGTAGAGACGGGGTTTCACCGTGTTAGCCAGGATGGTCTCGATCTCCTGACCTTGTGATCCGCCCGTCTTGGCCTCCCACAGTGCTGGGATTACAGGCTTGAGCCACCGCGCCCGGCCAGTTTTTTGTACTTTTTAGTAGAGAAGGGGTTTCACTGTGTTAGCCAGGATGGTCTCGATCTCCTGACCTCGTGATCCGCCCGTCTCGGCCTCCCAAAGTGCTGGGATTACAGGCTTGAGCCACCGCGCCCGGCCTATTTATTTATTTTTTATGAGATGGAGTCTCGCTGTGTTGCCTAGGCTGGAGTGCAGTGGTGCAATCTCGGCTCACTGCAACCTCCGCCTCCCGGGTTCAAGCAATTCTCCTGCCTCAGCTTCCTGAGTAGCTGGGACTACAGGTGCCCGCCACCACGCCCAGCTAATTTTTGTATTTTTAGTAGAAACGGGGTTTCACTATGTTTGTTAGGCTGGTCTCGAACTCCTGACCTTCTGATGTGCCCGCCTCGGCCTCCCAAAGTGCTGGGATTACAGGTGTGAGCCACCACGCCTGGCCAATGCCTTTCATTTTAATACCTACTTTCAGATCCAGAGCTGCTCTCTCCCCTGGTTCTAAATCTCTCCTCTGAAGTCATTCTCTCACTAGCAAAGATCCAACCCTCACCCTTTCTTCCATCTTGCAAGTTCATCTCTTGCATCCCGCATCCTGACTTTTGCTGTTAAATTTATCCTCTGGAGTTATAGTTCTAAACCCTTTCCCTTAGTGCAAGCTCTGCTCCTAAAATATAAACCTCATTGCTTAGCCTCAGACCTGCTTCTTCACTCTAAGTCTAGCCATCAAGTTATAAATCATGTATCTTTAAAAACATTGACACGGCCGGGCACGTTGGCTCACGCCTGTAGTCCCAGCACTTTGGGAGGCCAAGACAGGTGGATCACTTGAGGTCAGGAGTTCGAGACCAACCTGACGAACATGGTGAAACCCTGTCTCTACTAAAAATACAAAAATTTGCTGTGTGTGCTGGTGCACGCCTGTAGTCCCAGCTACTCAGGAGGCTGAGGCACGAGAGAATCGCTTGAACCTGGGAGGCACAGGTTGCAGTAAGCCGAGATTGCGTGCCACTGTACCACTGCACTCTAGCCTGGGCGACAGAGGGAGACTTGGTCTCAAAAAAAAAAAAAAAAAAAAAAGGGCGCGTTGGCTCACGCCTGTAATCCTAACACTTTGGGAGGCCGAGGTGGGCGGATTGCCTGAGTTCAGGAGTTTGAGACCCACCTCGGCAACACAGTGAAACCCCATCTCTACTAAAATACAAAAAATTAGCTGGGTGTGGTGGCGTGCACCCGTAATCCCAGCTACTCAGGAGGCTGAGGCAGGAGAATCGCTTGAACCTGGGAGGCGGAGGTTGCAGTGAGCCGAGATTGTGCCACTGCACTCCAGCCTGGGTGACAGGGAGAGACTGCATCTTCCAAAAAAAAAAAAAAAAAAAAGCATTGATGCCAGATGCATCTTCTTACTCTAAGCTTCTCCCACTTGATCCTAAAACGCAGACTTGCCAAAAACAGACCCATGCCAGGTGCAGTGGCTCATGCCTGTAATCCCAGCACTTTGGGAGGATGAGGCAGGTGGATCACCTGAGCCCAGGAGTTTGAGGCTAGCCCGGGCAACATGGTGAAACTCCGTCTCTACTAAAAATAAAAAAGAAAAAATTAGCTGGGCCTGGTGATGCAAGCCTGTGGTCCCAGTTAGTGAGGAGGCTGAGACGGAAGGATCGCTTGAGCCCAAGAGTTCGAGGATGCAGTGAGCTATGATCAAGTCATTGCACACCAGCCTGGGTGACAGAGGGAGAGACCCTCACCAGAAACAAACAAAAAGAACAGACTCTCATATATTCGTATGGTCACCTATTTATAACAGATGTAACACAGTAAAACAACATAGAAAGAAAGGAGTTTTTTCTTTTTCTTTTTTTTTTCCTTTTCGAGACAGTGGCTTGCTCTGTCGCCCAGGCTGGAGTGCAGTGGTGCGATCTCGGTTCATTGCAACCTCCACCTCCTGGGTTCAAGCGATTCTCCTGCCTCAGCCTCCCGAGTAGCTGGGATCACAGACACCCACTACCACCCCTGGCTAATTTTTTTGTACTTTTAATAGATAGGGGGTTTCACCATGTTGGCCAGGTTGGTCTTGAACTCCTGATCTCAGGTGATCCACCCGCCTCGGCCTCCCAAAATGCTGGGATTACAGGCGTGAGCCACCATGCCTGGCCAAAAGACAGCTTTTTCAATTCATCTAGATAACCACATGGAAAAAAAAAATACCAACTCCATAAATATAGCCCAGCTGATTTCAGACCTTTGCAGGGGCCTATTAGCTGAAACCCTCCTGCGTTTTCCCACCTTTAAGTAACAAATTCCTTTCCTCCCCACAGGACAGAGTGTCCGCTCAGCAGCAGCTGTGGATGGTGGAAGACACGCTGGCAGGTCTGGGTGGCCCCCAGAAACCGCCCCCACACCCTGAGCCTGACTCCCCATCTCCCGTGCTCCAGGGCGAGGAGTCCTCAGAGAGGGAGGTAAGATGCACACAACTCTCTCTCCACCCCTACCTTTCTGTCCCACCTGTCCTTGGCTCAGTCTATTCCCCACCCACCTCTTTAATTCTTCCTTGATCAGCTAACCCATCTCACGCAAGTGTCCTAATTTCTGGAAGCCTTTGTTTTTCTTTGGTTTTTGGGTGTTTTTTTTTTTTTTTTTTTGAGACAGAGTCTTACTCTGTCACCCAGGCTAGAGTCCAGTGGTGCGATCTTGGCTCACTGCAACCTCCGCCTCCTGGGTTCAAGTGATTCTCCTGCCTCAGCCTCCGAAGTAGCTGGGATTACAGGTGCCCACAACCAAGCCTGGCTAAGTTTTGTATTTTTAGTAGAAACGGAGTTTCACCATGTTGGCCAGGCTGGTCACGTACTCCTGGCCTCAAGTAATCCGACTGCCTCGGCCTCCCAAAGTGTTGGGATTACAGGCTTGAGCCACCTCACCCAACCAGGATATTTTTTAAAGCCTGTTGCCCAGGCTGGAGTGCAGTGGCTCGATCTCGGCTCACTGCAAGGAGCCACTGCAAGCTCCACCTCCCGGATTCACGCCATTCTCCTGCCTCAGCCTCCCGAGTAGCTGGGACTACAGGCACCCACCACCACGCCCAGCTAATTTTTTTTTTTTTTTTTGTATTTTTAGTAGAGATAGGGTTTCACCGTGTTAGCCAGGATGGTCCCGATCTCCTGACCTTGTGATCCGCCTGCCTTGGCCTCCCAAAGTGCCGGAGGATTACAGGTGTGAGCCACTGCGTCCGGCCTTAAAAAGTTTTTGTAGGAAAGGGATCTTGCTTGTTGACCAGCTGGTCTCTAGCTCCTGGCCTCAAGTGATCCTCCCACCTTGGCCTCTCAAAGGGCTGAGATTACAAGCACAAGTCTCCGTGCTCAGATCTGGTTTATAGTATATATATATTTTTTTGAGACAGAGTCTTGCTCTGTCACCCAGGCTGGAGTGCAATGGTGTGATCTCAGCTCACTGCACCCTCCAACTCCTGGGTTCAAGTGATTCTTCTGCCTCAGCCTCCTGAGTAGCTGGGATTACAGGCACCTGCCACCATGCCTGGCTAATTTTTGTATTTTTAGTAGAGACGGGGTTTCACCATGCTGGACTAAGCTGGTCTTGAACTCCTCAGGTGATCTGCCTGCCTCGGCCTCCCAAAGTGCTGGGATTACAGGCATGAGCCACTGTGCCCGGCCTGGTTTAATAGTCTTAATCCTATTCAGACTGTATTCCAATTCCTAAATGCTTGCAATATGTTAATAATAATAATAATAATGATCATGATCGTCATTATCCCCCTTTTCTAATCCCCGCAGAGCCTGCCAGAGTCCTTGGAACTGAGCTCCCCTAGGTCCCCCGAGACTGACTGGGGACGGCCTCCTGCAGGCGACAAAGACCTGGCCAGCCCTCGCTTAGGTGAGCATCCTGGTCGGGTGGGACTTTACAGAAATTCCCGTCCTCACCAAGTCCCGTTCTGTCTTTCCAGGTCTTGGGTCTCCGAGGGTCTCCCGGGCTTCCAGCCCTGAGGGTCGCCACCTCCCTTCCCCACAGCTGGGAACCAAGGTAGGCTGTAGGTCCATCTTGTAATCCTTGCATCTGACCATCAGGGACCCTCACACTTCTGGGAAACAGCTAGTAACAGAGCCTTCTAAGGCCACACTCAGAGCAGAGAGAGCACTGCTTGTTAAGAGCATTGAGACTGATTTTTGTCTCTGTTGCTTCTAAGCCATGTGACTTTGGGTCAGTTATTAAACCTCTCTGTGCCTCCACTTTTTCATCTCTAAAATGGAGCTAAAAGCAGAACCTACCACCTAGGGCTGACACAAAGATGAAAACTAGATGAATGAGGCCAGGTGTGGTGGCTCACACCTGTAATCCCAGCACTTTGTCAGGAGTTCGAGACCAGCCTGGCTAACGTGGTGAAACCCTGTCTCTACTAAAAGTACAAAAATTAGCCTGGCATGGTGGTGGGCACCTGTAATCCCAGCCACTTGGGAGCTGAGGCAGGAGAATCGCTTGAACTCAGGAGGCAGAGGTTGCAGTGAGCTGAGATTGCACCATCGCACTCCAGCCTGTGTGGCAAGAGCAAAAACTCTATCTCAAAAAAAAAAAAAAAAAAAAAAAAAAAAAAAAGACTCCCTGAGTGGAACAGAATGCTGATTTCATGTGGCCCTGAAGTTCAGAAATTAGTGGACTTCCAGCGGCAGGAATGTTTAGGAATTGGTTGACATTAAGCTGTGGAAGCGCTGTGCTCTGTGTCTGTTGCTGATTGGCTGGTGTTCAGAAGCATGGAGCTATCACTGATTGGCTGATTTTCAGAAGTATGGATCCATCACTGATTGGCCAGCCTGCAGAAGCATGTGAACGTCACTGATTGGCTGATTTTCAGAAGCTTGGTTCCATCGCTGATTGGCTGGCTTTCAGAAGCCTTTGGGGTACCTGTTGGGATTATTTGATCACATAGATATAAAAGCACTTCTTGGGGTAGGGAACGGTGGCTCGTACCTGTAATCCCAGCGCTTTGGGAGGCCAAGGCAGGCAGGTCATCTGAGGTCAGGAGTTCAAGACCAGCCTGGCCAACTTGGTGAAAACCCTGTCTCTACAAAAATACAAAAATTAGCTGAGTGTGATGGCACGTGCCTGTAATCCCAGCTACTTGGGAGGCTGAGGCAGGAGAATCACTTGAACACAGGAGGCAGAGGTGGCAGAGACCCAAGATTACACCACTGCACTCCAGCCTGGGCAACAGAGCGAGACTCTATCTCAAAGTAATAATAATAATAACAATAATAATAAATAAGTAAAAGCATTTCTTGGCCGGTGGTGTTGGCTCATGCCTGTAATCCCAATACTTTGGGAGGCCAAGGTAGGTGGATCATTTGAGCCCAGGCGTTCAAGACCAGCCTGGCTAATATAGCCATCTCTACAAAAAAATAATAAAAAGCTAGCTGTGGCTGGGTGAAGTGGCTCACGCCTGTAATCCCAGCACTTTGGGAGGCCGAGGTGGGTGGATCACCTGAGGTCAGGAGTTCAAGAGCACACTGGCCAACATGGCAAAACCCCATCTCTACTAAAAATACAAAAATTAGCCGGGTGTGGCAGCGCGCACATGTAATCCAAGTTACTTGGGAGGCTGAGACAGGAGAATCGCTTGAACCTGGGTGGCAAAGGTTGCAGTGAGCCAAGATCGCGCCACTGCCCTTCAGCCTGGGTGACAGAGCAAGACTCCATTTCAAAAAATAAAAAAATAAAAAGCTGTGCGTGGTGGTGTCCACCTGTGGTCCCAGCTACTTGGGAGTTTGAGACGTGAGGATTGCTTGAATCCAGGAGGTCAAGGCTGCAGTGAGCCATAATTGCACCACTGCACTCCAGCCTGGGCAACAGAGGGAAACCATGTCTAAAAAAAAAAAAAAAAAAAAAAAAAAAAAGGCCGGGAGCGGTGGCTCAAGCTTGTAATCCCAGCACTTTGGGAGGCCAAGACGGGCGGATCACGAGGTCAAGAGATTGAGACCATCCTGGCTAACCCGGTGAAACCCTGTCTCTACTAAAAAATACAAAAAACTAGCTGGGCGAGGCGGCGGGCGCCTGTAGTCCCAGCTACTCGCGAGGTTGAGGCAGGAGAATGGCGTAAACCCGGGAGGCGGAGCTTGCAGTGAGCTGAGATCCGGCCACTGCACTCCAGCCCGGGCGACAGAGCGAGACTCCGTCTCAAAGAAAAAAAAAAAAAATGCATTTCTTGTGCTTACTTGTTATCATGGATACAAAGGCAATCAATCAAGCCTTTCCTAGGAAGATAGGAGAGGCACTTTTTGATTCTCAGTGGTTTGTCACGGGCATGGGTGATTGGAGCCTCCTGGGAACATCACTTTTCTTGGAACATACTCTTCCCTCACCCCAACCCCGTGGTTTCAGGGGCTGCCAAGGTCCAGAGCACAGGGGTGGACTAGTGAGTTCCAAGGATTTCAGGGCTTAGCAAAGAAAAAGCTATGACCGCCAGATGGCAGTAGCACACAGGAGCTTTATTTGGCAGACACTGACAGATTTGTCTATGGGGGAAGTCACACCCAGTGTGAGACACTCCAGAGGCAACTGTGTGAGGGTGAGGACCACTGCACAGGAGGGGAGGAAGGCAAGCTCCCAAGAGAGAGGGACTGGAGAAGGGGCTTACATCTGGGTGATGCCAGCCAGCAGTATGTAGAGGGTTCTCTGGATCAGAGAGCTCCAAAGAGCAGCGGGGGCTTGGGGCTCATCTTACCTATGGGTAGCAGATGTTGGGCACAGTCTCGGGGTATACAAAGCAGGCAGACTGCATGGCTGAAAAGATCTGCTTATTAAGACTGTGTTTAAAACAATTGGATGTGTAGAAATCTGAGTTTGCTGCTACCAAGCTTTTAGGCCAATGGTCTGGCCTGCTGTGAAGAAATTAACATTGGCCAGGCGCGGTGGCTCACGCCTGTATACCCAGCTACCTGAGAGACTGAGGCAGAGAATTGCTTGAACCCAGGAGGCAGAGGTTGCAGTGAGCAGAGATTGCGCTACTGCACTCCAGCCTAGGTGACAAAGTGAGACTCCGTCTCAAAAAAAAAAAAAAAAAAGAAAAGAAATTAGCAACATATACAGTGTAATATACAGTGGTGATATACAGTGGCCAGTGGCCATCATTTATATAAACGGGACTCAGGATTGCTCAAAGCAGAGGAAACTGCAGGGGCTGTTTCTACAATAAACACAGATCCATGCTATCTCGCTGGCATGTTTAACTGGAAGCTCCAGCAATGAGTGCTCTCTCTCTCTTTTCTTTTTACTTTTAGATATGGGGTCTTGCTCTGTCACCCAGAGTGGAGTACAGTGGCACGATCATAGCTCCCTGAAGCCTTGAACTCCTGGGCTTAAGTGATCCCCCTGCCTCAGCCTCTTGAGTAACTGATAGGCGTCCACCACCACATCTAACAAGTTTATGTTTTGTAGAGATGGGGTCTTGCTGTGTTGCCCAGGCTGTTCTCAAACTCTTGGCCACAAGTGCTCCTCCCACCTCAGCCTCCCAAAGCTCTGGGATTATAGTCGCCTACCACTGCACCTGGTCTTTTCCCTCTCTCCTTGTTTAAGCAACATATATATATATTTTGAGACAGAGTCTCGCTCTGTCATCCAGGCTGGAGTGCAGTGGTGTGATCTCGGCTCACTGCAACCTCCACCTCCAGGGTTCAAGCAATTCTTCTGCCTCAGCCTCCCAAGTAACTAGGATTACAGGTGCCTGCCACCATGGCCAGCTAATTTTTGTATTTTTAGTAGAGATGGTATTTTGCCAAGCTGGTCTTGAACTCCTGACCTCAAGTGATCCTCTCGCCTCAGCCTCCCAAAGTGCTGGGATTACACGAGCCACTGTGCCTGGTCTAAGGGTTGGGTCTTGGGATGTTTCTCACCTCCTTAGGCCCCGGTGGCCCGGCCCCGAATGAGTGCCCAGGAGCAGCTGGAGCGGATGCGCAGAAACCAGGAATGTGGACGGCCCCTCCCTCGCCCGACCTCCCCGCGGCTCCTCACCCTGGGAAGGACACTGTCCCCAGCCAGACGCCAGCCTGATGTGGAGCAAAGGGTGAGGAGAGGAGGACTGGGGCTGGGCGGTGGGGTGGTAGTAGGTCCTCTTCGCCTACTTTGAGTCCCTTTCTGTAAAATGGAGATAATGCCTACCTCCTTACTCCAAGCTGGATTTCCAGATTTACCTCAGTTTGTACTTGTGCTAAAGTCAGCTTCCTGGCCTGGTTAGTGGTGGGTGGACAGGAGTGGCAGTGAGGGGAGGACAGTGGGTGGGGGCGGGGGGTCGCAGATCTGGATTGGAAGCCTAGTTTTTCTTCTCAGTTGCTATGTGTTGTCAACAGCAAGAAAGCAAAAAAAGAAAATGTAAGACAGCAAGAAAATTGATTTAATTCATGCCCTTTCAGTAGGGAGAACATCCCAGATCTGAGCATCAGAGTGTCTCAGATATCTCAGGATGGTTTCCCCTTAGATGTTTTCTTTTTTTGGCCGGGTGCGGTGGTTCACGCCTGTAATCCCAGCACTCTGGGAGGCCAAGGCGAGCGGATCACCTGAGGTCGGGAGTTCGAGACCAGCCTGACCAACATGGAGAAACCCCGTCTCTACTAAAAATACAAAATCAGCTGGGCGTGGTGGCGCAAGCCTATAATCCCAGCTCCTCAGGAGGCTGAGGCAGGAGAATCACTTGAACCCAGGAGGTGGAGTTTGCAGTGAGCTAAGATTGTGCCATTGCACTCCAACTTGGGCAACAAGAGTGAAACTCCGTCTCAAAAAAAAAAAAAAAAAAGTGTTTTCTTTTTTCGAGGACGAGGTCTTGCTCTGTCTCTCAGGCTGGAGTGCAGTGGTGCGATCACTACTCACTGCAACCTCCACCTCCTGGGTTCAAGTGATTCTCGTGCCTCAGCCTCCCGTGTAGCTGGGACTACAGGGATGCGCCACCACATCCAGCCAATTTTTGTATTTTTAGTAGAGACAGATTTTCACCACATTGGCCAGGCTGGTGTCGAGATCCTGAGCTCAAGTGATCCTCCTGCCTTGGAAGGAGGTGCTAGGAATACAAGTGTGAGCTACTGCACCTGACCTCCCCTTAGATTTTTTTTTCTTTTTTTGAGATGGAGTCTCCCTTTGTTGCCCATGCTGGAGTGTAGTGGCGGAATATCGGCTCACTGCAACCCCTGTCTCCCAGGTTCAAACAATTCTCCTGCCTCAGCCTCCCAAGTAGCTGGGATTGTAGGCCCACGCCACCATACCCTGCTAATTTTTTTGTGTGTTTTTAGTGGAGATGGGGTTTCACCATACTGACCAGGCTGTTCTTGAACTCCTGACCTCAAGTGATCTACTCACCTTGGCCTCCCAAAGTGCTGGGATTACAGGTGTGAGCCACTGCACCTGGCCCCTTAGACTTTTATAGAAAGGATTTAGACAGTCACAGGGGGTGGTGGTGGAGGTTGGATTTCTGAACTCATGTGCTGCTTTATAGGAACACAGGTAAAGTTAAACATTGTCAGTCGCTGGGTGCTATGGCTTACCCCTGTAATCCCAGTACTTTGGGAGGCTGAGGCAGGAGTAAGAGACCAGCCTGGGCAACATAGCAAGACCTTGTCTCTACTAAAAATAAAAATAAAAATAATTAGCCAGGCATGGTGGTGTGAGCCTGAAGTTCTATTTACTCAGGAGGCTGAAGCAGGATTAGTTTGAGCCTGGGAGGTTGAGACTGCAGTGAGCTATGATCACGCTGCTGTACTCCATCCGTTCTAAAAAATGAATAAATAAAATAAATTTATTTTTATTTTTATTTATTTATTTTTTTTGAGACAGTGTCTCGCTCTGTCGCCCAGGCTGGAGTGCAGTGGCCGGATCTGAGCTCACTGCAAGCTCCGCCTCCCGGGTTTACGCCATTCTGCTGCCTCAGCCTCCCGAGTAGCTGGGACTACAGGCGCCCGCCACCTCGCCCGGCTAGTTTTTTGTATTTTTTAGTAGAGACGGGGTTTCACCGTGTTAGCCAGGATGGTCTCGATCTCCTGACCTCGTGATCCGCTTGTCTCAGCCTCCCAAAGTGCTGAGATTACAGGCTTGAGCCACCGCACCCGGCCAATACATTAATTTTTAAAAATTCAGTGCCTACGGAAGCATAGGAAAAACAAAACAAAACATTGCCAGTGTTTTTGGGCAATTTCATTCTCTTTTGGAGCCCCTTCACTTCACCCTCAAAATGAGAATGTGGGGCTTCCAGGTGAGGAGTTCTAATGCCCCAATTCCTTTCCAGCCTGTCGTAGGACACTCGGGAGCCCAGAAATGGCTCAGAAGCTCTGGGTCTTGGAGTAGGTAAGGAACTGGAGGGCGTATCAAGGGAGCAGGAAAAAAAAATTTGCATAAGCAAAGGGGAGTAGCATTATTATTGGTCTCCTGAATATGGAACTACAAATCGCAACCCTTCTAGATATGCTTACGTTCCCGGGGCATCTGAAACAAAACCGGAAAGCCCTAGATCCGTAGTGATATCTTTAGTTCCCCAAATTCCCTTGGTCAATAGCATAGCCTGCTTTTGCATCAAGGAAATTGGGTGGTAGTGATTTGCGAATGGACTACAAATCCCATAATGCATGTGGGCGGTATGAGGGCGGTGCCATGTTTAACATCTGTTAGAGACACGTGCTAGGAACTACAACTCCCAGAAGGGCACGCGCGGTACCCGGGTCCCCACTGTGCGAGCTGTTTAGTTTTTATTTTTATTTTTACTTTTGTTTTGTTTTTTTTGTTTTGTTTGTTTGTTTTTTGAGACGGAGTCTTGCTCTGTCTCCCAGGCTGGAGTGCAATGGTACGATCTCAGTTCACTGCAACTTCCTCCTTCCGGGTTCAAGTGATTCTCCTTCCTCAGCCTCCCTAATAGCTGGGATTACAGGTGCCCATCACCATGTTTGGCTAACTTTTTTGTATTTTTTAGTAGAGACTGGGTTTCCCCATGTTGGCCAGAGTGGTCTCGAACTCCTGACCTCAAGTGATCCACCCACCTTGGCCTCCCCAGGTGCTGGGATTACAGGGATGAGCCATCGCACCTGGACTGTTTTTTTTTTTTAAATTTTTAATTTTTGTTGGTACATAGTAGGTGTACATATATTTACGGGATAAATGAGATGTTTTGATACAGGCAGGCAATGTGAAATAAGCACGTCATGAGGAATAGAGTATCCATCCCCTTTCAAGGATTTACCCTTTGATGTATAAACAATCCAATTACACACTTTATTTTAAAATGTACAATTAAATTATTATTGACTATAGTCACTCTGTTGTGCTATCTAATAGTAGGTCTTATTCATCCTTTTCTTTTTGTACCAATTAACCCTCCCCACCTCTCCCCCATGTACACACCCCACCCCCAATCTTCTTTTTTTTTTCTAGTCCAAGGAACACCACCCCTTACTTGCCGACTTCCGAAGGTCACCGGGAGCGGGTTCTCAGCCTCTCCCAAGCCCTGGCTACTGAGGCGTCGCAGTGGCACAGAATGATGACAGGTGACTGGCTGGGGATGTTGAACTTCTGGGTTTTAGGGAGGAGAAAGCTGGAGACCTGGAATCCCAGGTCCTGGAGAGGAGGGGTCTAGGGGCCGGTGGGAATTTTTTATGTTGGCGAAGAAAGAGTTGGGCAGAGTTTGGGAGTTTTAGGTCTCAGGCAAGAGTGGACTGGGTTCCGGGACACTTGGGAGGAGGGGAGGAAGAGGTCAGGGGGCGGGGAGAGGACGACATCTGAGTCTGAAAGAGGTCTGGACTCGGGTGTCCAGACTCCTGGGTCTGAGGGAGGAGGGGCTGGGGGCCTGGACTCTTGGGTCTGAGGGAGGAGGGGCCTGGGAACCCGGAGTCCTGCTGCTGAAGTTTGCCATTCTTATGTCTCCCACTCATCCTCTCTAGGTGGAAATTTGGACTCCCGGGGAGACCCTCTTCCCCGTGTGCCGCTGCCTCCTTCGGACCCCACGCGCCAGGAGACCCCTCCCCCCAGATCTTCCCCGGTGGCTAATTCGGGTTCCACAGGGTTCTCTCGCCGAGGGAGTGGGCGTGGAGGAAGTCCCGCCCCCTGGGGGCCCACGTGGGATGCCGGGATCGCCCCTCCGGTCCTGCCCCAAGACGAGGGGGCGTGGCCTCTGCGAGTCACTCTGCTACAGTCCAGCTTCTAACCCGCCCAAACGTGGCAGCCAATCGGAGCGTGAGCACGTGGTCTGGAGGTACCGCCGGAGATCTGGGACCACTCAGGGCATCAGGGGCGTGGTCTGGTCCCCATCGCCCGCCCGGGAGGGAAATGGTTTCTATGGCCAAAGTTTGATTTTCTCAACACTGTCTAAATTTGGATTAAAACTTTGAACTTTTAGTCAATAGCTTTGTTTCTGTCTGTTTGGGGTTGTTGCACTGGGGTCTCTGAGGGGCAGAGCCGGAGTCGTGCACTCCTGGGTCCTGAGAGAGGAAGGGACAGGGTGCTTGGACTTACAGGTCTCTGGGAGGAAGGGATAGAGAATCTGATCCCTCAGTCTGAGAGTGGAGGGGCCTGGGTCAGGATTCCCGGGTCTGAGGGAGGAGGGGTTGGGACCCTGACTCCTGGGTCTGAGGGAGGAGGGGCTGGGAGGCTGGACTCCTGGGTCTGAGGGAGGAGGGACTGGGGCTCCTGGATTCCTGTGTCTGTGGGAGGGGAGGAGTGTCTGAGGGAGGAGGGGCTGGGGACAAACTTCCAGGTCCCTAGCCTTCCTGGCAACGCCCCCCGAGGCTGGACTTCCACGATCCAGCTTCTATTGAGGATTTGATGCGACGGCCTCACGGGGCTTTGGAGGTGAAAAAGGCCCAGAGTAGAGACACAGAGAGAGAGAGAGAGAGAGACCGGTGGACACGGATGGCTACGGGAACGCGCTATGCCGGGAAGGTGGTGGTTGTGACCGGGGGCGGGCGCGGCATCGGAGCTGGGATCGTGCGCGCCTTCGGTGAGCCGGGTCTGACTGCTGGGAGCTGTGGAGCGTGAGAGAGGAAGGATGGGGGCGGGGCGATGGGGGCGGAAAATAGGGTCTCCAATACTGCAGCCGGGATTCTGATCTTATAAAAGCCAATTTGCAGGCTAAAGTAAGCGTGTGGCGCGGTAGGCTAGGGCTGTCTGGCAGGGTCTCCGAAGGCAGTGGCCCCTTTCTCTGGGTCTGTTGGTATAGCTGCAAAACCAGTGGTTTGGGGAATGGCCCTGTCAGTTGTGGAGTTTGCTCTGGAACCCACGAACGGGGGATCAGGAGCCTCAGCAGAAACCCGGGCAGGCAAGGAGAGTATGTGTCAAGGCCTCTGCCCTCTGTCCTGTGGGTGATCATGAGACTGGGGTCACGAGGGGAGACGGAGATCGGCCCCAATCCAGGTGGCCACAAGAGGGCGGCAGAGGCTTTAACCAAGACTCGGAGGGTAACGTGTTCCCTTCCTATTCTCAGTGGACAGCGGGGCCCAAGTGGTTATCTGCGACAAGGATGGTGAGTGAGGGTCCCTCAGCCCTCAGCCCTCACCCTGGTCCTTCCTCCCTCAGTCCAGGGGTCCAGGAGCCCCAGCCCCTCCTCCCTCAGTCCAGGGGTCCAGGAGCCCCAGCCCCTCCTCCCTCAGACCCAGGAGTCCAGGCCCCAGCCCCTCCCCCCTCAGACCTAGGAGTCCAGGAGCCCCAGCCCCTCCCCCCTCAGACCCAGGAGTCCAGGCCCCAGCGCCTCCTCCCTCAGACCCAGGAGTCCAGACCCCCAGCCCCTCCTCCCTCAGACCCAGGAGTCCAGACCCCCGGCCCCTCCTCCCTCAGACCCAGGAGTCCAGACCCCCGGCCCCTCCTCCCTCAGACCCAGGAGTCCAGACCCCCGGCCCCTCCTCCCTCAGACCCAGGAGTCCAGACCCCTCCTCCTCCCTCAGACCCAGGAGTCCAGGCCCCCAGCCCCTCCTCCCTCAGACCTAGCAGTCCAGGCCCCCAGCACCTCCTCTCTCAGACCCAGGAGTCCAGGCCCCAGCACCTCCTCCCTTGGACGTAGGAATCCAGGGCCCCAGCCCCTCCTACCTTGGACCCAGGAGTCCAGATCCCTGTCCCTCCTCCCTCAGACCCAGGAGTCCAGGCCCCCAGCCCCTGCTCTCTCAGACCCAGGAGTCCAGGCCCCCAGCCCCTGCTCTCTCAGACCCAGGAGTCCAGGCCCCCAGCCCCTCCTCCCTCAGACCCAGGAATCTGCAGACCCCCAGACCCTCCTCCCTCAGGCCCAGGGGTCCAGGCTCCCAGCTCTTTTCTGCCTGCAGAGTCTGGGGGCCGGGCCCTGGAGCAGGAGCTCCCTGGAACTGTCTTTATCCTCTGTGATGTGACTCAGGAAGATGATATGAAGGTGAGCCGAGTTCCCATTCCTACCCCCATCTCCGCTAATGACCAGTTCTTTGTTCTCCTCCAGCCATTTGCATGTGCCTTTCCCTCTACTGTTCCTTCCTCTCCTGGCTCCACTGGACCCGTCAAAGGTTTCCAACCAGTGTCACTCCACACACAAGATCTTCTGTGACTGACGAGCAGGTCACATGTTCCTTCTCTCCCACCTCTCCAAGGCTCTTAGCACATCTGACACGTGGGTGGAAAGGAATAAGTCCCTCAAAGTGGGTCAACTGTAACTGATTTTTCTGTCTCTTTTTTGGAGGTGTCACTGTCACTGAGGCTGGAGTGCAGTGGCGTGATGTTGGTTCACTGCAACCTCTGCCTCCCAGGTTCAAGCCACTCTCCTACCTCAGCCTCCCGAGTAGCTGGGATTACAGGCGTGCGCCACCATGCCCAGCTAATTTTTTTTTTTTTTTTGAGACGGAGTTTTGCTCTTGTTGCCCAGGCTGGAGTGCAATGATGCGATCTCGGCTCACCGCAACCTCCACCTCCCGGGTTCAAGTGTTTCTCCTCTCTCAGCCTCCTGAGTAGCTGGGATTACAGGCATGCTCCACCACACCTGGCTAATTTTGTATTTTTAGTTGAGATGGTGTTTTTCTGTGTTGGTCAGGGTGGTGTTGAACTCCCGACCTCAGGTGATCTGCCTGCCTTGGCCTCCCAAAGTGCTGGGATTACAAGCATGAGCCACCGCACCCGGCTAATTTTTGTATTTTTAGTAGAAACGGGGTTTCACTATGTTGGCCAGGCTGGTCTCGAACTCCTGACCTCGCGTGATCCACCCACCTCAGCCTCCCAAAATGTTGGGATTACAGGTGTGAGTCACTGCACGTGGCCTGTAACTGATTTTTTTCTCCATTATTTCTGGGTTCCTCTTTCTTCCTTTTAATCAGTATCTCTCTGTTATCTGCCCCCCTTTAGTAACTGTCCCCTATACTCTCTCTGAATCTTTGTCACCCCCATGCCCCACCCCCTAACCCTGGGTGCAGTGTGGCTCTGACCAGCCCTCTGTCTCCTGCTTGCCTGCTGTGTCTGCTGATCTCCGCATCCCTCTTCCTCTAGTTCTTGTCACCTGACCTGGGAGTCCAGCTTCCCCCTCCTGCCTTACGTTTGGGAGCCCTGTCTTCTTTATGGCTGGACACCCCATCTACTGCTCATTGAAAGGACATTTCCTGGGCTGGGCATGGTGCCTGTAATCCCAGCACTTTGGGAGGCTGAGGCGGGCGGATCACTTGAGCTCAGGAGTTTGAGACCAGCTTGGACAACATAGTGAATCCCCATCTCTACTAAAAAATCCAAAAATTAGCTGGGCGTGGTGGCAGGTGCCTATAATCCCAGCTACTTGGGAGGCGGAGGTAGGAGAGTCGTTTGAACCCAGAAGGCGGAAGTTGCAGTAAGCCGAGATCGTGTCAATGCACTCCAGCCTGAGTGACAAGAAGGAGACACCGTCTCCAAAAACAACAACAACGACAACAACAACAACAACAACAAAGGACATTTCCTTCTTCCTCAGACCCTGGTTTCTGAGACCATTCGCCGATTTGGCCGCCTGGATTGTGTTGTCAACAACGCTGGCCACCGTGAGTTGTGAGACCTCAGGGCCTTCCTTACCTCCTGCCCCCCCAACTCCGTTTCCTGCACTTCAGTTTCCCCACTCCCTTCCCCTGATTCCCTCATCCTGCCTCATACCTCTTTCTAGTCACTTGGACAGGAGAGTAAACCAATGGAAGCCCCCTAGGCCTGGGCTGAAACTGGTCCTGTTCCATCCCTCCTGTGTGTCCCGAGTTGTGCCTTCACCTGACCATGTCTTCCCTCCCTCCCTCCCTCCCTCCTTTCCTTCCTTCCTTCCTTCCTTCCTTCCTTCCTTCCCTCCCCCCTCCCCCCTCCCTCCCTCCCTCCTTCCTTCCTTCCTTCCTTCCTTCCTTCCTTCCTTCCTTCCTTCCTTCCTTCTTTCTTTCTCTCTCTCTCTCCCTCTCTCTCTTTTTGAGATGGAGTCAAGCTCTGTTGTCCAGGCTGGAGTGCAGTGGCACCATCTCAGCTCACTGCAACCTCCGCCTCTTGGGTTCAAGCGATTCTCCTGCCTCAGCCTCCCAAGTAGCTGGGATTACAGGTGCCCGCCAGCACACCAGGCTAATTTTTGTATTTTTAGTAGAGATGGGGTTCTTCGTGTTAGCCAGGCTGGTCTTGAACTCCTGACCTCAGATGATCTGCCCACCTCGGCCTCCCCAAGTGCTGGGGTTACAGGCATGAGCCACTGCACCCGGCCTTTTTTTTTTTTTTTCCTCTGAGACGGAGTCTCAGTCTGTCACTCAGGCTGGAGTGCAGTGGCTCAATCTAGGCTCATTGCAACCTCCACCTCCCAGGTTCAAGCAATTCTCCTGCCTCAGCCTCTTGAGTAGCTGGGAATATAGGCATCCACCACCACACCTGGCTAATGTTTGTATTTTTAGTAGAGAAGGGGTTTCACCATGTTGGCCAGGCTGGTCTCAAACTCCTGACCTCATGATCCGCCCGCCTTGGCCTCCCAAAATGCTGGGATTACAGGCGTGAGCCACTGCATCCGCCCCCCCTCACTTTTCCTCTCTCTCTCACCCCCCACTTTAGACCCACCCCCACAGAGGCCTGAGGAGACCTCTGCCCAGGGATTCCGCCAGCTGCTGGAGCTGAACCTGCTGGGGACGTACACGTTGACCAAGGTGAGGGCTGGCGACCCTGCTGCCAGGCCCGAGCAGCCTCCTGATAGGTGGATTGTGTGATGCATTTTGTCTAAGAGCACAATGTTTTCTGTTTTTTTTGTTTATTTGTTTGTTGGAGACAGGATCTCTCTCTGTCGCCCAGGCGGAGTACAGTGGTGCGATCTTGGCTCACTGTAGCCTCCACCTCCCTGGTTCAAGCGATTCTCGTGCCTCAACCTCCTGAGTAACTGGGATTACAGGTGCGGGTCACAAAACTCAGCTAAATTTTGTGATTTTTG